ATTCGTTCATTGCCTTCCAAGTATTTCAAACAGAATACAAGTTATACTATCGTCCTGGAACGATTACTAGCCGAGTTGACGATAATGCCAAATGTCCGCGAAGACATTTGGAATATTCCCAATAATAATGTTAGTTAAAAAATTCTTTGAAATATTTTACATTTCATAACGTAAGAAGTACAAAAGATTTTTAAATATAATTTAGAGAAAGAAATAAATTTGAGAAACAAATATATATGTATGTGTGTGTGTGTGTGTATGTGTGTGTGTATGTACACAAACTCATTTTTTATTATATATATATCTATATCTAGTGGCCAGATGCACATCAATTGATACCGCCGGCAGCACCGGAACTAGGGACTATTTTGGAAGTTTTGCGGAGGTCTAAAATAGTCCGTGCAGATAATGCTCCATTGGGTACACAACTGAAGCTTATGCTTAATCTTGAGAATGATATAAAAGCATTATTCAAGCCACAATGGTACGCCAGAGATACTATTCTACATGGATCAGTGTACCATGGCAAGGATCGCCACAATGCTGAAGTGGTGGCTTTTCATTTATCGTCCTTGTTGGCGTTGCGAAGAGTACCACTCGCCGTTATTCGAAAACGTATGTTGAAGTTAAAATGAGAAAGATTGAAAAAGATCGTATATAAATTAGACTTCTGCTTATTTTTAATAGAAACTCTTCTAAATTTTTTAAAATAAAAATTACAATAAAAATCTTAATTACAATTACCTTTCTTTAATAAATATTAATTAAAATTTTTTGTTATAAGTTGATGAAGTGAGAAATGTAATACTTTTGTAGTTGACCTGAAAGAAGAGATTAGTAATCACGCGACACCAGCATTATACGCAACCATGTATCAAGAGGGTAACAATACATGCCTATACGGTGTTTGTCATTATTGTTCTCCAGCCGATCCTGTCTGTGGGACGGGAGATGTATTGGAGGGTACCCTCATCTTTTGGCTTCCACGATATTTAAGATTAGTCAAACATCGTCATCCTTGGCAACGAACTTATAAAAGAAACAAACTTGCTGCGTGGGAAATAGATGAGGACTATTGTGATAAAGTACATTGCTAAGATTGTAAAAAATACACACACACACACACACACACACATACACACACAAAATGTAATAAAAATATATGAAAATTCATGAAAAATACGATTATAAATGATGTTTGATGTGGAAAATATAGAATTGATTTTTTCTTTTAGGTAAAAGATTCCAAGGCTTATTCACCGCAATCGTCGAGTAGACTCTTGGATTTGATTGATACAGCGATCTTTGATTTCCTTATGGATAATGGTGATCGGCATCATTATGAACTCGCACAAAATAATTTTCATAATCCTGCAGTGCTACTGATCGATAATGGAAAGAGTCTAGGCAATCCTGATGTTGATCATCTCGACATCTTAGCGCCTCTATACCAGTGTTGCATGTGAGTATAATTTATATTTGCTGCAAAAGTTATGGAATTAAAAGACATGAGAAGTCTTTAACATAACTCTTGCTTAAAAAATTTGAATCTGTTAAATAGCTTCCTTGCTCATTACGTTTAGAAACTGCGTAAAAAGAGACAGCAATTAAAGAAAAGAACAAAACTAAAACAGATGTATTTTATTCTAGGATTCACAAAACTACGTGGGATAGATTGCGATTATTTAGTGGTGGATCTCTAGGTATCGCATTAGGTAGACTTCTTGCACACGAGGCTGTAATGTCAGATGTTTCTTCACTCATCACAAAGGCACACTTAAATGCTATGGATAGAAGACTGCTTACCGTTTATGCCGTAATAGAAAATTGTCTGAAGAAAAAGAAGTATATTTCTAATGTGATTTTGGATCATCGATAATCTAAGAACAATTCTTATAGGACGAGTCAGAATACATAAATATAAAAATGTAAATGTTCCTTATAAAAAATAGATATGAAGAAAATGAAGATTAATTGTTTAATTAAAAGTTAATAAAATTAAAAAATTAATAAAAAAATAATATTCAAGAGAAATTTTACGCAGATAAGAAATTAAAATAAACATTCTTTTGTAAGAAGAGATATAAGAAAAAAAATATTAAAAAAAAATCTTAATTTAAATTTTTTAAAATTTTATTTGGTAATTAGAAAATAAATTTTCAATTCTTTTCAATTATATAATTTTAGTTTTAATATTTTGATGAAATATTGTTTTTTATAGAAAATATTCTTCATTATTTTCTAGAAATAATCCCTTGAAGCATGACAATTTTTTTTTAACTAGTAAATAAACGTAAGGTTTAAAATGAGAAAGGTCAATAAGACAGATTTGAATGCAATTTATTTGATGACACAGTTAATTATCATTATTTGAATAGAGTTTGAAGTGCAGCGCTGTGTACAGCGTATATATAAATACAGTACAAACGTAAAAAACCTGTAAATGCGACTGTATTATCGTATGTGTTGCCCGTACGTTGACATGCCCTCCTCTTCTTCATCGCAGACGGAGACACCATGCCATCGATCATGTACATTATTACATATAGTCTTCGTGGATGCCGTTATCTCCTGTGATCGTAACTATTCAGTAAACATCACATTTTTAGTTTTCTTACGTTCTTTTTTATGAGAATATAAGATATAAAAGACACCGTTACTTTTTTTAAAGTCTTATCTGAAACATAATCAAAACATCTTTTTTTAATTTAATTTTAAATTTAAAAAATTGAGAATAAAATTGATCGAAATAATTATAACTTTATATTTACTTTCTTGAGTAATGTTTTTAAATATTTATTCTAAAATTAATATACAAAATTAATAATTCATGGATAATTCATAAAAAAAGATTTCTTTTCAATGATAAAAAGAGTATATAAGGATTGTGTTGTCAACTGCAAAATATGATACATTCCAAGAATAAAGAAAGTAAGAATAAAAGATTACAAATAAATAATTATCACAGAAGATATCGGGGCCCATTCGTATGGGACTTCAAATCGAATTCGCACATCTAGCGTAATCTATCTTGGTTTGTGTTTCGTATTTACAACGTTACATGACCAGAATTATTCACGTACCTTACAAACTAGTTAGAAATTTCATTTTTGTCGTGTGTATATATATATTTATATATTTATATATATAATATTTAGCGCCATCGTCGTTCAGGTATGAATGTATATACTATCTATATATATATTATATTAACATTCTTTAATTAAATAGAGCTTTCGTAGCAAAGTATGTATAAATAGACTATTTTTGCACAGACCATGATCCTTTCGAACTCGTTCGCTTTATCTCATCTGACTGCTTATATGAATGAGAATCGTCTGTTTATTTATCCTTGAGATCTGTCTACATTTAGATAATTTTACCTGAAAAATAATCGGACGAAAGAGGAATTTCTGTTCTTTGAGAATTCCTCGGTTCGAAACCGCTTTCTTTTTACGCCATTAATACTGTGTAATGACAAAATCGATACGATTTTTTTTCAACGCGCTCGTATCTTGTCATGATTGAATGAAAAAATGCGTTCCATCAAAATAGAAACAGCTTCCGCAAACGGGGCAGCGTATAGAAATTATTGCATCACGTTCGCGTGTACGCTCCATGAAAAATTAACAGGCCGAAAGAAATTGGTCAACGATCATTTAGCAAAATCATTTGATATTTCTAAGATGTTAATATCTGACGATAAATTAAAAATAAAAAAATGTATTTGAAATAACTTGACCAAGAAGTTAATATTTTTATTATCTCTGATATATCTTTTTTTTATTTCCATTTATTTTATTTTTGTAAAATATAGAACAAATTAAAAACATTTTATTTAATTTTCCGAATCCTCAATGACTTTAAATTATAACATTAAATTTCAATTTAATTCGATTTCTCTTACAAAAAATGTAAAACTTATCTTTATAAAATTATTTCTTTCGATTTATCTATTTTTCTTAGCGAAAAGTCGCCGTTTATCCATTTTTCGTCTTATTTAATATTACATATCACACCTAGATGCTGGATGCACGTAGAAATCTATAAATATAGGCCAGCTTTTATAGGCATCTCAAATCCCTCTTAGCTTTTCATTTTATGAAGCTTTTGTTGGTATTAAAATAGTGCGATCTTAAAATAGCTGGCGTTTTGTGATTTCTTTTAATCTTATTGCATTTCAGAGGGTTCTTAAACGTGCAATTTGATGTTTATTACGATAAGGAATTATCGCTAATGTTTAATTGCGCTCTTATCTCAATTCGGAAGTATGATTTAGTGACACCTGTAACTTTCTTTCTTGAGTTTTAATCTTAGAAACATTGCACTGATTATTTTCCCTGATATAAAGATACTCCTCGTTTAATTATCTTTTATTTATAAATAATTTTTTCTTGCTCTGAATTCGGCGATCGGAATAATTGTTTATTTCTCAGAGCTATTGATTTTACCTTTTTTGTAATATTTTTAATTGAACGGTCGTTATGCATATATATATATTGATCTTTCGGCGATGAATTTTGTTTATGATATCTTGCTAATTTAGAGTGCTGATTCTACTCCTCTTGATGAAGATGTCGAACTACTCAAATCCTCTGAATGACGAGTATGTGATGAATCAAGAGACGTCACCGAGTCGCTGTCGTTACTATGTGGACTTGAGTAATTAGCTGCTTCCTGAAGTCTCATTAGCATGTTAAGCTATAAAAATAGATATAAGAAAATTGAAGTCGACTAATTAATGAAATTGGTTACCATTGAACAGCTTATAATACATATAAAGCGATGTAAATAAGTAAAAAAAATTTCTCTACAATTAATATGTAAATTTCATCTTCTTTCTTTTTGTTACAATTGCTATATTTATTTAGAAAAATATAATTTTCTATAATGCAAGAAAAATATATAATTTATTTATTTAAAAATTATTATTATTATTCAACAGTTTATTTAGCTGAATTTTTTAAATGATGAATATCGCGTTCTGCATGATATATATTTTAAAGTTTCTGTACACCGGAAGTGTCCCCGCTGGAGACGACATCGTATCCCACGTCTTCGGGTCTCAGACGTAGAAGAGCATCGCTGCCGCCGTGCACGGCATGCGTCGAAAGCCATGGATAGCTCGATGTGATGAATTGCGCTGGATCTTCCCATGTCGATTCGCTATTTCCATTCCCGCTTACGCGTCTTCCGTATAGCGTCAATCCTTCCCTGACCGCTTCCACTAAATAAGGTATTACCGAATAGTTCCACAGATCGGTAAACCACACTTGAGATCCAGCCACTTCCATTGGACACGATAAAAACAGCCGTGGTCCTGATTAATTATTAATATTATTATTTATTTATAATTATATAAAAAAAAATGACAGCAAAATTAATAGCAAAATAATAAAATTTTATCACAGGTTCATAAGTATTCTTTAAATTTTGCAATTGAAAATCATTGATTCTATTATTTTGCAACGATACTAGAAGAACGATAGTAGAAAAAATAGCAAAATTGGTGAGAATTCTTATTTAAAATTGGATTTATTGGACTCGCAGAAATTGTATCTT